AAACTCACAATTCTGAGAACACGCGAGTCTTTTTCCCCCTCAGAATTGGACTTTATAACTCGCAACTACTAGTTTATATCTGACAATTCTGAAAAAAAAGTCAAAATTGCGAGATACAAATGCATATTTGCAAGAAAAATGTCAGAATTGTGAGTTATCATCTCACGATTCTGACTTTATTTCGGAGTTTTTTTCTACTGTTTTTTTCCTCGCAATTGCGAGTTTATATCACTCAATTATGAGAAAAAAGTCAAAATTGTGAGATACAAACACATATTTGCAAGAAAAAAGTCAGAATGGCGAGTTCTCACGATTCTGACTATTTCTGAGTTTTTTTCTCACAATTGCGAGTTTATATCACTCAATTCTGAAAAGAAAGTCAAAATTCCGAGATACAAACACATATTTGCAAGAAAAAAAGTCAGAATTGCGAGTTATCTCACGATTCTGACTTTATTTCTGAGTTTTTTTCTCGCAATTGCGAGTGTATTACTCAATTCTGAAAAAAAGTCAAAATTGCGAGATACAAACGCATATTTGCAAGAAAAAAGTCAGAATGGAGAGTTGTCATCTCACAATTCTGACTTTATTTCTGAGTTTTTTTCTACTGTTTTTTTTCTCGCAATTGCGAGTTTATATCACTCAATTATGAGAAAAAAGTCAAAATTGCAAGATACAAACGCATATTTGCAAGAAAAAAAGTCAGAATTGCGAGTTATCTCACGATTCTGACTTTATTTCTGAGTTTTTTTCTCGCAATTGTGAGTTTATATCACTCAATTCTGAGAAAAAAAGTCAAAATTGCGAGATACAAATGCATATTTGCAAGAAAAAAGTCAGAATGGAGAGTTGTCATCTCACGATTCTGACTTTATTTCTGAGTTTTTTTCTACTGTTTTTTTTCTCGCAATTGCGAGTTTATATCACTCAATTATGAGAAAAAAGTCAAAATTGCGATATACAAACGCATATTTGCAAAAAAAAGTCAGAATTGCGAGTTATCTCACGATTCTGACTTTATTTCTGAGTTTTTTTCTCGCAATTGTGAGTTTATATCACTCAATTATGAGAAAAAAGTCAAAATTGCGATATACAAACGCATATTTGCAAAAAAAAGTCAGAATTGCGAGTTATCTCACGATTCTGACTTTATTTCTGAGTTTTTTTCTCGCAATTGTGAGTTTATATCACTCAATTCTGAGAAAAAGTCAAAATTGCGAGATACAAACGCATATTTACAAGAAAAAAGTCAGAATTGCGAGTTATCTCACAATTCTGACTTTATTTCTGAGTTTTTCTTCTCGCAATTGTGTTTATATCACTCAATTCTGAGAAAAAAAGTCAAAATTGCGAGATACAAACACATATTTGCAAGAAAAAAGTCAGAATTGCGAGTTATCTCACAATTCTGACTATTTCTGAGAATTTTTCTCGCAATTGCAAGTTTATAATCACTCAATTCTGAGAGAAAAAGTCAGAATTGCAAGATGTAAATCGCAATTGCAAGGAAAAAAAGTCAGAATTGTGAGATTAAAACTGCAATGACCTTTTTTTCTTTTTTATTGAGTGGCGGAAACGGGCTTCCATGCCATGAAAGAGATCATGGAAAAACTGAAAGTAGTTTTGAAAAAACTGAAAGTACTGAGAAGTATGCTAGTTACAGCCTTAAGTAGTCAGTGGTATCACACAAAACAAAATAATAATATAAATACATACATTGTAAATTAAACTTAATGGAATACTAAATTTGCCAACAACTTTATCTATCCTGACACACAATATGGAATATTTACTCAATATTAGTCTCAAAGGATGTGTAATCATGAACCAGATAAGCTCTTTGGGATCTCCTGAATTCGCTCAGACAAGTATTCATTCTTATTCATCCTTTATTCATTTATCTGGCTGCTTTTCTGTTGTGCAATTACCAAACGATGCCTCACAGCCATAACATCCTCCAGCGAGATGCCTTATCAGGGCTATCTGTTTAAACTTCATGAGGAGGACTCAGACATATCTCTCATATTACAGTGACCATTCAGACGGTCCGCAAACCTTCATTCTCGATTACGAATGGATCACTTAGTAAGGGTCAAGCACTATACTTCTCAGTTCATTTTGAAGTTTAAAGATGTTCTTGAATCATATAGAGTCTCAAAATGAAGTAATACTAAAAAGTAAACAAATACATGATTCCAAAAGCAAACCATTTAATGAAAAAATAGATGGATGAGTGTTGCATGAATGACAACAGTTCAGCCCAGTTCTAGAATCAAAGCGATTTTCATGGGAGAATTATTGTTTCTAGAATTCCATAAGTGAGCAAACTCCTTCCTTTGAAATCAATTCCAGCTGAATTCCAGTGAAAAGTCTTTGTGCTACACCAGAGAACAAAACAAACGACTGTTATAAATACAGTTATAAATAGCCCCATGCAAACATGAGGGATGCGTCTCCATAAATACAGAAATACAATAGAAGCAATTTCATGTGCCTTTCAAAACTACATGATTTACCTTGAATTCGTTTTGACTGTGGGAATCTAATGCAGGATGTTCTGCTGACATGTTTTAATGGCCTCTTGAGGAACCTTTGAGTTCCTCCTCCTCTAAATGATGTCTTGAATTGCTTCCATGAGTCTGGGACGGAGAGTGCCGACAATGCTTGCCAGTAACACAGCCGCCCTCGTGCCAGAGCGATTCAAAGAAAAGAGGCGAAACCTTCCCTCATTCTCTACTGGACCGCTGGTGCATGACATCTATTATAGTGCTTGAAAGTACTCTCATCTCTTTTTGTCACTTTCACATTGTCACCAACAAAACAAAAACACTTTTTGTCTAAGTTTATGAATAATTTGTAATATATTCAAATGTAAATTTGATAATAAACATTCACTAAGCATAAATTGCAGAAATGGAAAACATTAGGAGTTCATTTGGAAGATCTTGAAGACCAAGATCATAAGCCAATAGTACATTTTATCACATTTTTAATAAAACTAAGTGTGTAAAGGGAACAAGGTTATATATATATATATATATATATATATATATATAT